TGGCCTGGCCAAGAGGGCAACAAATGAGAAATAAATAGAAGTCAAGGCAATGGTTTTGGCCTGAGTAATTTGTCAAAGGGGTGGGGGGTGGGGTGGGGTAGTGTGTGGGAGAAGCTGGATGGCTGTAATATATACAACCCTAGATTACAAGGAGGCAGTAACCTAGAGGAGACATTTCTGCCAATCCTTGACCTTAAAGAAGGTGACAGAATACTGAATCCAGCGTTAGCCAGGTAGGACTTTTACCAATGATGGGGGTTGGTAGTGGGGTATAGGACAAGGAAGAGGCATCTAGAGCTAGGTCTGTTTTAATGCTGCTCTATAGTACAAAAGAAGTTGACTATGGTATGAGGAGAGGGTGAAAGTGGGGACCAGCAGTGTTGCTACTGCACCAGTCTTAGCAAGAATCAGTGTAGTAGGGAGAAATCTGGGTACAGGTATCTGTACCAGGTGGTACATCTGGAATGGTGATGGTCCACAGGTGGTATATTGGATAAAGAATTAGCCACTGGCCAGTTCAAGTCCTGGCTGTCCACTTAGAATCCACCTCCTTGCTAATGTCCCTGTGAAAGCAACAGAAGGTGGACCAAGTGCTTGGGCCTCTGCAACCAACATGGGAGACACCAAGAAGTAGCTTCTGGCTCCTGGTTTCAGCCTGGCCCAGACCAGCCATTAAGTAACCAGAAAAGAGCTGGTGTTTCCATCCTACTATCAGACAAAATAGATTTTAACACAAAAACTGTTAAAAAGAGAGAGGGCTACTATGTAATGATTAAGGGATCAGTTCAACAAGAAGATGTGGTTATAATAAATGTATATGCACCCAATTACAGGGTACCTGGCTATTTAAAAGAAATGTTAACAGATCTAAAGGGAGACATGGACTCCAATACAATAGTAATAGGGAACTTCAACACCCACTTTCATCAATGGATAGACTAACCAGTCAGAAAACCAAAGAAGAAACAACAGAGCTAATGGAACTAATTCGTATCTAGAGAACTTTTCACCCCACAGCTGCAGAATAAACATTCTTCTCATCAGTACATGGGACTTACTCTAGGACAGACCACATACCAGGCCATAAAGCAAGTCTCAGCAAATTAAAAAAAAAAAAAATCAAAATCATACCATGCATCTTCTCTGATCACAATGGCTTGAAGCTGGAAATCATTAAACCAAAAATCTCTAGAATATACACAAACACATAAAGACTGAATAACATGTTCCTGAATGAAGTGGGTCATTCAAGAAATCAAAAGAGAAATCTAAAGATGTCTGGAAATGAATGAAGATGACAATACATCATATCAAAATACAGATAAAGCAAAAGCAGTGTTAAGAGGGAAGTTTAGGGCCGGTGCCATGGCTCACTTGGTTAATCCTCTGCCTGCAGCGCCAGCATCCTATATGGGCACCGGGTTCTAATCCTGGTTGCTCCTCTTCCAGTCCGGCTCTCTGCTATGGCCTGGGAAGGCAGTGGAGGATGACCCAAGTGCTTGGGTCCCTGGACTAACATGGGAGACCCAGAAGAAGCACCTGGCTCCTGGCTTCAGATCGACACAATGCCGGCTGTAGCAGCCATTTGGGGGTGAACCAATGGAAGGAGACCTTTCTCTCTCTCTCTAACTCTGTCAAAATGGAAAAAAAAAAAAAGAAGGAAGTTTATAACAATTGGTGCCTGCATCAAGAAATTAGAGGGGCCAGCACTGTGGCTCAGTGGGTTAACACCCTGGCCCGAAGCGCCGGCATCCCATATGGGCATTGGTTCTAGCCCTGGCTGCTCCTCTTCTGATCCAGCTTTCTGCTATGGCCTGGGAAAGCAGTGGAAGACGGCCCAAGTGGTTGGGCCCCTGCACCCATGTGGGAGACCCAGAAGAAGCTCCAGGCTCCTGGCTTCGGATCGGCATAGCTTCGGCCGTTGCAGCCATCTGGGGAGTGAACCATCGGGTGGAAGACCTCTCTCTCTCTGCCTTCCTCTCTCTGTGTAACACTGACTTTCAAAGAAATAAATAAATCTTAAAAAAAAAAAAAGAAAATGAAATTGGAAAGGCACAAAATAAATGAGTTATCAAGGACCTAGAAAAACAACAAACAAACCCTACATTAGCAGGAGGAAAGAAATAATTAAAATTAGATAAGAAATAAAACTGAAACAAAAAAATACAAAAAATCAGTGAACTGAAGAGTTGGTTTTTTGAAAAAATAAACAAAATTGACGCACCACTGGCCCAAATAACCAAAAAAAAAAAAAAAAAAAAAAAAAAAAGCCGAAGAGGACCCAAAGCAATAAAATCAGAGATAAAAAAGGAAATGTAACAATAGATACCCCAGAAATAGAGAAGCACCAGAAATTACTACAGAGAGCTGCATGCCAACAAGTCAGGAAATCTAGAAGAAATGGATAGATTCCTGGACAGACAAATAATCAAGACAGAGACTGAATCAGTAATAAAGACCCTCCAAACAAAGAAAAGCCCAGGTCCTGATGGCTTCACTGCTGAATTCTACTGGACATTTAAGAACAAACGCCAATTCTTCTCAAGCTATTCAAAACTACTGAAGGAGAGGGGAATCCTACCAAATTCTTTCTATGAAGCCAGCATCACCTTAATTCCTAAACCTGAAAAAGATACAACAGAGAAAGAGAATTACAGACCAATTTCCCTGACGAACATAGATGCAAAAAATCCTCAATAAAAACTAGCCAACTGAATCCAACATCACAATAGAAAGATCATTCACCTGGAACAAGAGGGATTTATCCTTGGTAAGCAGAGATGGCTCAACATTTGCAAATCAATCAATGTGATACATCACATCAACAAACTGAAGAACAAAAACCAAATGATTATCTCAACAGATGTAGAGAAAGCATTCGATAAAACACAACATACTGGACTGCGCTGTGGCATAGCAGGTAAAGCCGCCACCTACAGAGCCAGCATCCCATATGGATGGCAGTTTGAGTCCTGGCTGCTCCACTTCTGATCCACTTCTCTCTGCTGTGGCCTGGGAAAGCAGAATATGGCCCAAGTCCTTGAGACCCTGCACCCACGTAGGAGACCTGGAAGAAGCAATGACTAGAGGGTAGTACCACATCCAGGTGCCTGCTACCAACTTGAAGCCATGCCTCTCTGGCTCCACTTAGCAGGCTAAGGGTACCTGGGAGCCATAGGCAGAGCACCCCTGGGCCTTTTGGACAAAGGAGACAAAGGGATGCTTCCAGGTAGCCAGCAACTGCAAAGCCCACCATTGCCCCTGAAATTCTCTGACACTGCCAGTCAGACCCTGCACTGCATGGCCAGGGCCCAACTTCAACTTCCCCCAGCAGTAAAATGAGACCAGGGTGTAGTGCCACCTCCAGGGCGAGCAAGGAGGGGCCCCAGCATCACAGCTGCCTCTCACTTCTGGCCAGGTTCTCCCAGCCCTCCAGCTCCAGCTAAGAAAGGGGACTCTCCCAGAAAGCCTCCCAGATAGAGCAGAGCTGTGGAGGGTGCCAGCAAAACCTAACCGAGGGAACTCCCTGCTGAGCTGCTGGCACTCTTTGCCCTTTATTATAAAAGCGCTCTTGGCCCTACACTGAGCTCATTTAGCACAGCAGGTTAAAACACTGTTTGGGATGCTCATATCCCATATCCCATATCCTGGGTCTAGTCTGGGGTCCACTTCTTCCCATCCAGCTGCTTGCTCATGTGTACCCTTACAGGCAGCAGGTGATGGTTCAAATACTAGGGTCTCTGTCACCCACATATGAAACTAGGATACAGTTCCAGCTGCCTGGCTTTATCCAGGCCCAGCCCTACAAGATGGAGAATCTGTTTCTCTTTCAAATAAAAGTAAAAACTTTTAAAAGCATTGGTTCCTCCCATGTACCTTCCACCTTACCACCAGTGACATTTGTTCCTAGCTGAACCCAATTTGCAAATTTATTCTATACCTGTATAAACCATCTTTGTATTTATTTTAAATCTCTTGACTTTTGGTTCACAAAAGCAACCTTAAAACATCATCAACCACTGTATTACTTATCAACACCCTGACATATGTATATGCTGCGAACTCCAAATATTAAGGCTTTTTAATAATCTTATAAACCACAAAATATACCAACACTTAAGATTCCCTTTGTATCATTTTAATTCATTCTTATTTTAATCAATTTTGTACCTCCTTTCTCCTACTTATGACTAAATATGAGAGACTAAACCACTCTCTCAACCTCATCATTAAATTGCTCTGGAGGGTGTCCTGTGCACGCAGGATGTTTAGCAGCATCCCTAGTTGCTATCCAGTAGCATCCCAGCTGACCACTAATGATGGGATCAAAAATGTCTCCAGGGGCTGGTGCTGTGGCACAGCAGGTTAAGCCATGGCCTATAGCACCAGCATCCCACATAGGTACCAGTTTGATTCCCAGTTGCCCCACCCCCAATCCAACTCCCTGCTAATGGCCTGGGAAAAGCAGTAGAGGATGGCTCAAGTAGTTGGGCCCCTGTACCCACATGGGAGACCTGAAAGAGTTGCCTGGGCCAGCCCCAATTGTTGTGGTCATTTGCAGAGTGAACCACCAGATGGATGATCTCTCCCTCTCTATCACTCTTCCTTTCTCAGCAACTCTGCCTTTCAAATAAATAAACTTTTAAAAAAATTTTTTTTAATTTAAAAAAAATTTAGAAATGTCTCCACACTTGGCTAAATTTCTCTCCACTAGAACCATTAATATCAGATACAAAGCCTGGTCTTAATCACTTTTGCAATTGTAACTTTATACAACAGTCTGTTTCCTATTTTTCTTTCTTAACTTATAAACAAGTCTGGTCAAACATGGAAAGCTTCATGTTTCAATATTTCACATACACCACCTAGGTCAGATTCTTTTTTTCTTTTTGTCTTCACTCTTATGTACAGGCAGATTCTAATATACTATAGAGTGTACAGAGTGCTAAGAGATGTCCTTGAAAACAGCATAAATATTTCTATAAATCACACCATAAATAATCAGCACAATAATTCAACAAGCATTTATTAAATGCCTACCATGTGCTCAGCACTGTACTAGGCACTAAGAAGTACAGATAGAAATGTAAAAGTTATTATTCCTGCCCTCAAGGAGCTTACAATTTAATTTTGCAAATAAATAAAAATGTGAAACTATAATACTGAATGCTAGAAAATAATTATAAAGCAATATATTAGTCAGTGCACGGGCCACAGTACAAACTCAAAGGGTAAGTGCTTAGGCAATATGGATTAAGGGAAGGCTCACTCAGAAGAAATAAAGGAAGCTGGCTTTGAAGGGAGACTTGAACATGAGCTAGGGCCAAAAAGCAAACTAATCAAGAAGACTGTGAGAAAGGCACAGAGGCAAGGGTTTGTAAGACAACAGTAGAAAGCTATAGGAAGTTTGAATGTCATGAATCAGGATGAATAAGCTGAAGAGTAATGAAGGCTGAGGTAAGGTAATGAAGAACCTGGAACACCACTGCTCTGGAAGCAATTACCTGCTGGGCATTACTAAGTGAAAATGAGACATCTAGCAAAAGCTTCATACAAGATGAAGATCATGACAGCAAGGAAACTAGAGACAAAGAATTACAGTAACCTGGGCCTGATGTGCCCATAATGCTATAAGGGGATGGTAGAAATGTAAAAGGTCAAGCCTCAAGGAGAAGGCTAAGAATTTAATCAACAGCTAGATTTTGGACCTTAAAAATGGAGGGCAGAAAAAGATAAAAGACTATTCTAAAGCTGGGAAAAAACATGAAAGGTAGTCTGTTCAAGGTAAAGCAGTTAAGCAATGATACTCATTTTAAAAGAAAACGGGGACTGGAAAAATGAGTGATGAGTTCTGTTTTCAAATAGCAAGCTGCACAGGTACCTGTGGAAAGTTTTGACATAACCCACAGGGTACAAAATAAGAAGTCACATAAATAAACTAAGTGTAAAAAAATGGATAAGTAAAAATATAAAAAAGGTAGTGAATAAAAATAAGATCTGGGGATTATTCTCAATGGAGAGGAGAAGAAAAAAGACCAATGAAGAAAAGCCAGAAGCAGGGAGGGGTGGCCAGAATCCCATAAGCCAAAGCAGGTACAGGAGGAATTTAACAATATCAAATAGGAATGAGATCAAGAAAGACAAGAACTAAAAAACAGGCTTAATATTTATCTACCAGCAATTCAGAAGCCATTTCAAATAATGCTGAGCATGAAACAATCAGGACAAGTTTTAAGAATAGATTAATGAGGAAATGGTATTGAAAAATCAGGAATGACAGAGAAAAAATAAGATAGCTATTGAAAGTGGGCAACAATGCGGCTCACTAGGCTAATCCTTCGCCTTGCGGTGCTGGCACACCGGGTTCTAGTCCAGGTCGGGGCGCCGGATTCTGTCCCGATTGCCCCTCTTCCAGGCCAGCTCTCTGCTGTGGCCAGGGAGTGCAGTGGAGGATGGCCCAAGTCCTTGGGCCCTGCACCCCATGGGAGACCAGGAGAAGCACCTGGCTCCTGCCGTCGGATCAGCGCGGTGCGCCGACCGCAGCGCACCAGCCGCGGTGGCCATTGGAGGGTGAACCAACAGCAAAAGGAAGACCTTTCTCTCTGTCTCTCTCTCTCACTGTCCACTCTGCCTGTCAAAAAAAAGGAAAAAAAAAAAAAAGTGGGCAACAAGCTTGAAGGTTTTTCACATTTTATGCTGTAGATAAACTTGCTATTGTCATCTGAACTGTCCATCTGCCCGACCTGGCATATAGATATTTCATTTCCTTCCACAATTCTACTTTCCCTTAGGCCAGGGGTGTATAAGGTTTGCAAAATCATTTTGTCTACCCCTACCAAGGCAACCACAGGCAGGATTCACAATTCAATAAATCTAAAGCAGACTAATTTTTAAGTTGATAATTTTATATAGCCCATGAATGATGTTACAAATATCCAAATGGCCCATGGCAGAAAAAAAGGTTCCCCATCCTTGCCTTGGGCAGTTTAGAGAGAAATCTACTTGATTCTCTAAGTTATATGAGGTTTTATCCTACCTATCACTCTTTCAAGCATAGTTTATTTACTCAATTTACCTCTCTACTACAAAGTATTGAAAGTATCAACATTTAAAATGATACAATTATAATCCAAAATGACATATTCAAGCAATAATTTTAGTAAATACAATGGAATTGACCAGGGATACATTTTTTTAAAGTACTTGGTCAAAGCTGTGCTGTTCATTATAGTCAGCAGAGCATAGCTGTTAGGTGCACAGGCTCTAGAATCACGTTTAAGAATTTTTGTCCTTACTGGCTGTGTGAGATCAACTCTCAAAGACTCGTTATCCTCATCTATAAAATGGAATATATAGTATTATCTATTGGAAGCACAAGAAATGCTTAATAAAGAGTCTGGCACACAGTAAGTACTCAATAAAAATCAGCTACTAGAACTATGGTTTAACTGTTCTATATGGGAATAAACCACCATATTCTAGCACTGCCACCTTGCTCCATGAAGAAAATCTTAAAACTTCTAGAACTTTATCAGATGGCAACAGTTAGGAAAAAGTACCTTATCATGTCAGATCCTAAAATGAGGGTAGGAAAAGTATTAAAGTTCTTTTCAGATTAATAGCATAAAAATAGAATCTGGGGGCCGGCACTGTGACACAGTGGGGTAAAGCCCTGGCCTGAAGCGCCGGCATCCCATATGGGCGCCAGTTCTAGTCCCGGCTGCTCCTCTTCCGATCCAGCTCTCTGCTATGGCCTGAGATAGCAGCAGAAGATGGCCCAAGTCCTTGGGCCCCTGCACCCACGTGGGAGACCTGGAGGAAGCTCCTGGTTCCTGGCTTCAGATCATCGTAGTTCCAGCCATTGCAGCCATCTAGGGAGTGAACTAGCGATGGAAGACCTCTCTCTCTCTCTGCTTCTCCTCTGTGTAACTCTTTCAAATAAATAAAATAAATCTTAAAAACAAACAAACAAACAAAAAAACAGAATCTGCTTGAAGGAGTGTACTTTATATTTTTTACAGCTAACAGCACAAAATAATGTCATATAGACTAATCAAGGACAGTCCAAAGAGAAGAGAAAAAACATACAGCCTTTTTCAATTGTCTTCTGCCCCTTGGCTATTTATATGTGCTGAAGCAGCCTTGATGATTCTTTCAAGTGAGTCTTTTCTCATTAATCTTTCTAGTCACATTATTTTCTCTCCTATGAATTTCTGTCAGATGCTTAGTAATCAGAAAGTGAAGCAACAGGATGCACATTACTCTGGGTACTGATGCTAAAGAGACACTGATTGGCACATCCACAGACATTTCAATGCAATGTGCTGCTCTGCTAAAATGTTGTTTTGTTACTGAAAAAGAAGGCAAATCTTCCTCTAAAGTAGATGGGAGAAGTGTGTGCGTGTATATATATATATATATACACACACAAGCATTTTCCCTTGAATACTCATCCTAGGTAACATCTGCACACAAGACAGCACTTGCCCCAGGCAAAATTAATATCTTAACACAGGGTAAGGAACAACTGAAGCAAAAAGCAAAGATCTACACACAACCAGATTTACTTGTTTCTGATTTCTTAAAATCTGAAGCATAGGAAATTAGAAATGGTACTCTGCAGGTCAAAAAAAAGAAAAAAGAGAACAGAGGTTAACAACAGATAATGAAAAGGACTGTTTTGAAAAAATTAACCAAGAAAATCAGGATGACCAATGGCTCAATAAAATAGATACAGAAACCCTCAATGTTAGTAGTCAAAGCATGTCAAAGGGAGACAGAAAGGATGGTACAGGGAAAGAATTCAAAAGGTGGACTTCATAAAGAGTTTATTATTTTTTAACCACATCAATCATGAATTATCAAGATTAAGAGTTACATCCCTTTTCAAGACAGTCAGCATCAAATTGTATTACTTCCCTTGAAGGGTTCATCAGAACCTATGTAATTTTCTTCTGTACTGGCTTATGGAATCAATTTCAAGTTTGAGGATTACTTTGGAAAGCCAACGGTTACTTAATTCCAACTCTGGTGAATAAAGGGCTAATCAAATGATCAAATATGAAATATTATCAAGTCATAAAGGGTTTTCTTATATTGTCTATTAGGCAAGAATTCTAACTGTATTCCAAAAATTTGAAGGAATGTAACACTAATAGGAATAATGGTGCTTTGGAGTTAACTAGAACCACCCAATTTAAAGGATAATCCAGACTGGATGCATAAGTTTTAGCATATAACTTTAAAACCAGTCTCATTACTTTATAAGCATCCTTTGGTAAATTGAAAAGCCTCAAAGATGAAATACAGTGCCTGGTAATGATAAGTTTAATAGTTTATGTCTGTGCTGGGAAATTACAGACATGGAATACAGATGGAGTACATCAGAATTCAGACAAGAAATGAACTGCAAGGTATTCAATACATTATCACTGTGGATATTATATAAATTAATGGTAGGAAATACAGAAAATGATGAGCGACCAAAGGAGGTGGTTCCAGGGTAATGAAGAATGACAGATCATCTAGTCAAGGAGTCTGTGCAGGCTTATAGGACCTGAGAACAGTACTATAATGGGCCAAAAGGCATGAGTGTACATTCTTTGTAAGGATTTTTATGTCTTCTTCAAGCATCTCTGTCTCCTATTTCTTCTATGTGATGCCAAAACTAGGATAGTGCAAATTTCTATTTGTTCCACAGTATACAGCAGGGAGGTGCAAGGAGAGTCAGAAGTCACCAAAAGGTACAATTATCCAAGCTTCAGAGTAGCTGGGCTGAGTCTCCACTCACCTCATTGTTTGCATCACTCTCACAACCATCACTAACGCGTCCATTTCCTTTGCTGACACACGTACTGGGAGAGGGGTGGTGAAGGATACGTACAGATGCTCAGTGACTCAGTGGAGTCAGTGAAGGTGATATGTGAAGTAAAATGCTGGAGTGCTGTTAAAAATATAGCATTCTGAGTTTGCTTGAGAATATGGATTACTAGAAGGAACATCAGAATAAAAAAGTGCACACTTAAGCATAAATACATTAAGTGTCTGTAAAAATTTCCCTAGAACTAGGATCTTAGAAAGCTAACAAATATAAGTCACACACAGAAGCCGCCTTGGACTGTAAAGCAGCTTCTCAGATAGAAGTACAAGGGCACCTTGAGGGGAATGGAGGGGAGAAAGGTATCATAGATGGGAAGCAGCAGAGGAACTAGGTGTAGCAGCTTCTCTGAAACCTACAGCTAATTATCCAAAAGACAAAGTTAACTGTCTAAAGCCTTGACAAGCAACTTGCTCTAATGCTATTTTAGATGTCTAAAGGCTATATTAGGCCATCAGAAGCTCTGATCCATCAGACACCTGCTAGGACAGTCAAGCTAATCAACCTGTATCAAGGCACTGGCCCAAACTACTGAGGAGCTATTCTAACTTTGCCACCACTATAGATTCTGACACTAGATAAAGTTGCAATGATGAGACTTTCTGCCTTTCTACACTGAAAGGTCTTTCACCACTGCATGGTTTCTCTAATGTCAAATAATATCCAAACTATGACAAGCTTTTCCTAAACTACCATGGATTCAGATTTTTCTCCACTGTGGATTCTCTGATGTCGAATGAGACTCGACCTCTGAATAAACGCTTTCCCACACTCATTACATTGATAGGGCTTCTCCCCTGTGTGGATTCTCAGATGCTGAATGAGGCCAGTGTTCCCATTGAAAGCTTTCCCACATTCTTTACATTTATAAGGTCTTTCTCCAGTGTGGATTCTCTGATGTTCAATAAGGCCTGACTTTTGACTGAAGGCCCTGCCACATTCATTGCATTTGTAGGGTTTCTCCCCAGTGTGGCTTCTCTGGTGGCCAATAAGATGTGAGCTCCGCCTGAAGGTTTTCCCACACTCATCACACTCATAGGGCTTCTCCCCAGTGTGGATTCTCTGATGTCCAATGAGGTGTGAGCTATGACTGAAAGCTTTCCCACATTCATTACATTCATAAGGTCTCTCCCCACTGTGGATTCTCTGGTGCAAAATAAGGCCTGCACTCTGACTAAAAGCTTTCCCACACTGATTACACTGATATGGCTTCTCACCAGTGTGGATTCTCTGGTGCAGAATCAGGCCTGTGTTCTGACTGAAGGCTTTACCACACTCCTTACAGTGGTAGCGTTTTACTTTGTTGTGGATATCCTGATGGGAAAGAAGGGCTGACCTGTAACTGAAGGCTTTACCACACACATTACACTGATAGGGTTTCTCCCCAGTATGGATTCTCCAGTGGCGAACAAGGCCTGAACTCTGAGCAAAACTTTTCCCACATTCATCACATTTATGTCGTCTTTCTTGTGTGGCATTTCCCCGCTGCCTCTCTAATCTGCCCAGAAGATCTTGGGCTTCTCCATGCTCAAGACCCCTGATAACATCCCCGTTGCACTTGGCAGCTGTTTCTCCATGTGGCTGGATTCCAGTAGATATTACCTGTTTTGAAGCTAATTCCCTGTTCTCATTCCTGGTCTCACCACCTGAAATAAAAATGTAATAAGCATCAAGCCATGACATTTCCTATTCTTTATGCCAGAAGAAATAAACTGAAGTTAGGTAAAAAAGAACATATATGTAGAATAGCTACAATAAACACAAAGCTTCTATCTGCTTCCAAAATGGCTTCCTATCAGGGAAGATATATAAAGGGTCAAACAGAAGTATCACAGGCTAACCAAGAAAGTGGTATCATGACAAAAGAGGGTTACTGGAGGCCGGCACTTGGTGTAGTAAAACTGCCGCCTGTAGCACCAGCACCCCATGTGGGCACCAATTCTAATCCTAGGTGTTCCACTTCTAATCCAGCTCCCTGATAATGTGCCTGGGAAAGCAGTAGAAGGTGGACCAAATACCTGGGCTCTTACATCCATGAGAGAGACCCAGAAGAAGCCTACTTCCATCTTTGGATCAGCCCAGCTCCAGCCATTGTGGCAATTGGGGAGTGAACCAGCAGATAGAAGATGGATCTCTCTCACTCTGCCTTTCAAATGAACAAATAAATCTTTAAAAAAAAAAGAAAAAAAGAAAAAAAAAAAGAAAAGAAAAGAAAAGGAAGTCTCAAAACTCTATCCTTCTGTTGGATCCTGAGTCTAAACCCAACTGAGTTTTCTAGAATGCTCACAGCTTCCAGATATATATAAAAAAAAAGAACAAAAAACCTAAATGATAATAACCACAGCTCTCCTTACCCAGGGAGAACATGTTTCTATAATTTTCTGGTCTATTATCTCTACTCAAATCCTTCTGCAATGGATTAAGAAGCCACTCCTCTCGAATAAGGGACACAGCCATGTCTTCGATCTTCTCCAAAGTCTAAAACAAAATAAGATCACCAATCACTACGTGAGACCTTGAAGTGTTGACAGGTCAAACCTAATGTCAGAGAGATACACTAGCATTCAGAGCAGATTAAGCGGGAGAGAATATACTTTATAAAAGGATCTGAATGGCTGGGAAGAGGAAAACATACATTATTTACTGTGGGAACTCAAGATCAGTCTTTCCATATGTAAAAGAATTTAGGGTAAGTTTTTTGGTAGGTAGTGCCACAGACAGTTCAGAAATGGAGTGAATACCACAAACCAGGGAGATTTTCACGAAAAGTAACAACTCACCTGGAACCCTGCTGTGAGAAGTGTGGCGGTCATCTCCTGGTCTCCAGAATTTCCTTTCTGAGAAGAGACAGGACTCTGAGAAGTAGATAAAGCTGAGAGAGGAGAAGGGAAATTAGTCCCATCCAGTGATTTTGAGAACTAGCACTCATTCATTTCAAATTACTTGCATTTCAGAGATAATGCATGCCAAAGATTTTACATATGAAATGCTGGTAACTTGGACTTCAGTACATACAATGGTTGCCCACAAAACATCTGCAATTTGATGTCTCTAAACTCAGCCTCAAAGATACACTCAAACTGGGACAGACGCTGTGGCATAGCGGGTAAGGCCGACGCCTGCAGTGCCAGCGTCCCATATGGGCGCCGGTCCAAGTCCTGGCTGCTCCACTTCCCATCCAGCTCTCTGCTGTAGCCTGGGAAAGCAGTAAAAGATGGTCCAAGTCCTTGGGTCCCTGCACCCCTGTGGGAGACCCAGAAGAAGCTCCTGGCTCATGCCTTCGGATCTGAGCAGCTCTGGCCGTTGTGGCCAATTGGGGAGTGAACCATCTGATGGAAAACCTCCCTCTCTCTCTTTCTCTCTCTTCCTCTCTCCCTCCCTTCCTCCCTCTCCTTCTCTCTCTGAGTAACTCTGACTTTCAAATAAAGAAACTTTTCTTTAAGAAAAAAAAAAAAAAAGATACACTCAAACTGCCAACTTTTTCTCTGCCAGAATTACTAATCTTTGTGTTTATACTGTTTTTCTTCAGGCCCTGACCTGCCCAAGTGAACATTAGAACAAATCTCTCTCTACTAATTTGGTTACATTTCTGAAATATCTACCATGGCTGCCAGTATTAGCTTTTTATAGATTTCAGACAGCTCATTAACAAAATCAACATAGACTATGTATGTGTCTCAAGCACCAAGCATTAGGACCTTAGATAAGAATTCTATTATTGGGGGTCGGCACTGTGGCACAGTGGGTTAAAGCCTCAGTCTGCAGTGCCGGCATCCCATACAGGCACCGGTGCTAGTCTTGGCTGCTCCTCTTCTGATCCAGCTCTGCTATGGTCTGGGAAGGCAGCAGAAGATGGCCCAAGTCCTTGGGCCCCTGCACCCACGTGGGAGACCAGGAAGAAGCTCCTGGCTTCGGATCAGCTCCGTTTTGGCCACTGCGAACAATTGGGGAGTGAACCATTGGATGGAAGACCTCTCTCTGTCTCTACCTCTCTCTGTAACTCTGACTTTCAAATAAATAAAATAAATCTTAAAAAAAAAGAATTCTATTATTAAATGAAAGTGTTTCTACACTTATATAAAGCAAATTACTATACACGATATAAATGGGAAAGATGAGACTAGAACATCTCAAAAGAAAGCAAGAAAATTCTCAAACAATGGTGGAGAAATGTCAAAGGGACACAAAAATTAGATTTAAGGGGCCTCCTCTGGTCAAGTATGAGACAATTTAAACATCAAAATAAACACAGTGGGGCAGCATTATGACACAGTGGGTTAAGCCACTTGTAACACCTACATCCCATATCAGAATGAAGTCCTGACTATGCCACTTCCAATGTAGATCTCTGCTAATGGTCTGGGAAGCAGCAGATAGTGGCTCAAGTACTTGAGCGGTTGCCATCCACAAAGAAAAGAACCAGATGGAGTTTCAAGCTCCTGGCTTCAGCCTAGCCCAGCTCTGGCTGTGGCAGACATTTGGGTAATGAATCAGCAAATGGAAGATCTTTGTCTATGTCACTCTGTGCTTCAAATAAATAAATCTTAAAAAAAAAAAAAAAAAAAAGAGTTACAGAACATTTATGGAATATTTGTCTATATTATAAAAAAAAAAATGAGGGGGGCGGTGCTCTGGTGTAGAAGGTAAGGCTGCCGCCTGCGATGCCACCAACCCATATGGGCACCAGCTCGAATCCCAGCTGCTCCACTTCCAATCCAGCTCTCTGCTATGGCCTGGGAAAGCAGTGGAGAATGGCCCAAGTTCTTGGGTCCCTGTGGGAGACCAAGAGGAAGCTCCTGGCTCCTGGCTTCAGATCGGCTCAGCTCCAGCAGTTGCAGCCAGTTGGGGAGTGAACCAGCAGATGGAAGACCCCTCTCTCTCTCTCTCTCTGTCTCTCCTTCTCTAACTCTGACTTTCGAATAGATGGATCTTTAAATAAATAAATAGGAAAAGGGAAACATTCTCCCTTATAAAAAATAGTAAATAAATATAGAAGGAATTATACAATCACCATTTTGTAAGCTCCTAAAAATCACTGAGTCAAGAAGCATCAATGAATACTTACACTGGTGTTTTAGAACAAATTTTTTTTTTTTTTTGGACAGGCAGAGTTAGTGAGAGAGAGACAGAGAGAAAGGTCTTCCTTTTTCTGTTGGTTCACCCCTCAAGTGACCGCTATGGCCAGCGCGCTGTGCCGATCTGAAGCCAGGAACCAGGCACTTCCTCCTGGTCTCCCAAGTGGGTGCAGGGCCCAAGGACTTGGGCCATCTTCCACTACCTTCTCGGCCCACAGCAGAGAGCTGGACTGTAAGAGGAGCAACCGGGACAGAATCCGGCACTCCGACCGGAACTAGAACCCGGGGTGCTGGCACCGCAGGTGGAGGATTAGCCTAGTGAGCCACAGCACTGGCAGTAACAAATGTTTAATACGGAGGATACTTGGCTGGTGCCACGGCTCACTAGGCTAATCCTCTGCCTGCCTGTGGCGCCGGCACCCCGGGTTCCAGTCCCGGTTGGGGCACCGGTTCTGTCCCGGTTGCTCCTCTTCCAGTCCAGCTCTCTGCTGTGGCCTGGGAAGACAGTGGAGGATGGCCCAAGTCCTTGGGACCTGCACCCGCAGGGGAGACCAGGAGAGGCACCTGGCTCCTGGCTTTGGATTGGCATGGTGCGCAGGCCGCAGCGCACCGGCCTCGGCGGCCATTAGAGGCTGGACCAATGGTAAAGGAAGACCTTTCTCTCTGTCTCTCTCACTCTCTCACTCTCTCACTGTCCACTCTGCCTGTCAAAAAAAAAAAAAAAAAAAAAAAAAAAAAGAGGATACTTGCATAGACTCAAGAGTCTCCTCCCACAAGTTAATTATCAATTACAAAGGAAGAAACAAATCTTACAATGATTAACCTGGCAAGAATAATTAACAGACAATCATCAATAATAGGACAGGTGCAAACATTTGATGCAGTACTTAAGTTGTAGCTTGTGACACCTGCGAATCATTATCAGCGTGCCTGGTTCGATCTTGGCTACTCCACTTCCTAACCAACTTCTTTCTAATGGGCATCCTGGTACAGCAGCAGATGGCAGCTCAAGCAATTGCATTCCTGCCACTCATGTGGATGACTGCGATTAAGTTCCAGGCTCCTGACTTTGATCTGGTCCAGCCCTAGCTACTGCAAGCATTTGGGAAGTCAATCAGCATGGAACATCTTGATCTCAATCTCCTTCCCATCCTCACCTCTCTCTCCCTCTCTCCCTCCCCCATACCCCTGCCTTTCAAATAACATAAAAATAAATTTTTAAAAATATTTTAAGTAACAGAACAGGGCTGACACTGTGGCACAGTGTGTTAAGCCACTGCTACAGTGCTGGCATCCCCTATGGGTATCAGTTCGAGTCCTGAGTGCTTCACTTTTTTTTTTTAAAGATTTATTTATTTATTTGCAAGTCAGAGTTACACAGAGAGAGGAGAGGCAGAGAGAGAGAGAGAGAGAGAGAGAGAGAGAGAGAGATCTTCTATCCAATGGTTCACCCCCCCGTTGGCCGCAACTGCTAGAGCTGCTCAGATCCGAAGCCAGGAACCAGGAGCTTCTTCCGAGCCTCCCACACAGGTGCAGGGGCCCAAGAACTTGGGCCATCTTCTACTGCTTTCCCAGGCCATAGCAGAGTTGGATTGGAAGCGGAGCAGCTGGGTCTTAAACCGGTGCCCATATGGGATGCTGGCACTTCAGGCCAGTGCGTTAACCTGCTGCACCACAGCGCCAGCCCCTGCTTCACTTCTGAACCAGCTCCTTGGGAAAATAGTAGAAGATGGTCCAAGTGTTTGGGTCCCTGCCACACACAGGAGATCCAGATGAACCTGGCTCCTGGCTTTGGCCCAGCCCAGCCCTGGCTGTTGGCGGGCATTTCGGAAGTGAAGCAGTGGAGGGAAGACCTGCCCCCTCCCCCCGCCCCCCCCCCCGTCTCTCCTCTCTCTAACTCTTTCAAATAAACATTTCAAAAATAAAAATAATAGGACAAATTTCTGTTGTGTTCCTGAAAGAACACAGCATCACTTCTGCAGTGTTCCCACCAAATACATGCAGCCTAAATGTAAACATGAGGAAATATCACACAAACCCAAACTGCAGCTGCCCTACAACATAACTGACCCATACCCTTCAAAAAATGTGAAGATCATGAAAGGAAAAAAAAAAAAAGGCTGAGGAAATATTTCAAATTAAAGGAGACTCAGACGTGACAATCAATTGCATAGTGTGACCCTGGACTATATCTATGTTAATACTTCCTACTTGCGATGATTTTACTGTAGTTATCTAAGAAATGCCCTCATTTGAGGAAATACATACAGAACTATTTACAAATAAAGTATGATACCAGAAAACTTTATATATATTGGAACCGCACTGGGATAACAGAAATATATGAACATGTACAGATTTCCAAATTTTTAACTTGCTCATGAGTTTATGAAACCTAGGTAACTGGGGATGATCTGTAAATAGTGATTCTAGTTCCAGCTCTCCAGGATCTAGACAGGTAAAGCCAACTGTACTTCTTTCCTTTCTATTTTTCCCTCCTCCCTTATCAATGAAATCTAGTGCCTCACCTCTCTGTTGCGGCCCTTGGGACACTGGAGATTTGTATTGGATTGCCACTGGTTGGAGCGGAGTACTTGGAGGCTCTGGTGCAGATTCTGAATGCACCACCTCCTCCCAAAGTACCCTATGTCCATGAGCACGAGCTGGGACCTGAAATCAATAAAACAATAAAAGTGAATAACATAAGAGTATAAAGAACACATCTACAGGGATCCATGCTTGGGATAGGAAATAGCAGAACCTCCAGGGGCAGTGAGGAACACAATCAAGTAGACTAGCACAGAAAGAAAGGCCTCATTTCTGCTCAGCACTGAAGAAAAGAATTTCTGCTGATGCCTTCTCTGCTACATGGTACATCAATATTTTGTATTCCCAAGCCAGGGAGAAAAGGAAAATGACAAATACAAACTTAAAGCAATGCTATACAGTAGGAAAAGACTTTAAGTAAATAGGGAGCTTGAGTTATGGTCTCAGATTTACTTTTAATTATTTGAGTGACCCTGAAAAAGTGATTTAAGTTCCCTATGTATTAGGTTCCTGTCTGGCAAACAGGAAAAGTGATACAGCTGTAAGGATGTTATGAAGATTTCAAAAAAATAGATTATATTCTTTACAAAAACTAAAGGAAATTCCTAAATACAAGACATTCTACACTATAACTGCGTTCATCTTCATCCAATATAAACCAGTGTTCAGCATTTTCTCTCTCACTGGGAGACTAGTGTCTTCCACCCAGCTTCCATGACTCCCACAGTCATAGCATATACAACTTCTTCTACTTACTGGCCGTCCTAGTATATCAATCTGCCTTTCCAAATCCTCCAATAGGGTTACCACCTCCTCTCCATTCTCTAACTGATGTTCCTTAACCAGAGTCTGCAGCTCCCCAGGCAGGATAGTCAAGAACTGCTCCAGCACCAGCAGCTCCAAGATCTGTTCCTTGGTGTTCAAATCTGGCCTCAGCCACTGATGGCAAAGTGCCCGGAGTTGTATCAGAGCTTCTCGGGGTCCCAGTGTCTCCTGGTAGCACAACTGTCTGAAGCGCAGGCGAAACAGTTCTTGGCCAGGAGGGTTATTTTCATGCAGAACAGATTCTTGGTCCCAACCATGATCCTCCTCCTCTACCTTGACAATTACAAGATCCTCTTCTGGAGCCTGCTCTCGTGGAGATGGGGCTGCAGGCTTTCTTGATTCTGCAGCCATTTAGGGCCAGAAAAGCTCAGGAGGTTTGTTTCCACTACTTTCTTTATCTTAAGAACCTTCTGAAAGCCTAAGGATACTTCTTTGGGAAAAGAAAACAATAAATAGTGTTAAGACAAGTCAAAAATCATAATTTACCAAGATATTTTAACAAGTCCCCACCATGACATGGACTTCAGGCTGATCTCTCCACTGCTCCAGAAATAACTCCTGGCTTCCTTAACCTTCCACCCCACAAGTCATGCCAAATCCACCTAAGCAATAACTTCTTGCTTCTGCTTTCTCTGGTTAGCAGAGTGTGGAACACAACTAAAAAAAAGTCAGGGAACCATGTAGACTGGGTCTACTTGATTATGTGCTTAACCTCAATGGCCCCTCAGTACTGCTCATTTCATCCCTTTTAGAATGTGTTATACCAGTTGTACTAACCTGTTTCTACATGCTTCAGATCTCAATCCTTCCTTAATCTACCTCCAGGTACTGTTAACAACCTCCCTAAAACTTCCCTCTTCTCCACTTCACATTTGTCATCCTACCCATGCTTCCTATCTTCTTTCCTAGCTCAAGGCCAATTCTACTATGGATCTTATCTTCAGTTCAAGAATCTTCTTTGGAGTTTGGTTTCCAAAAGCAAAATATATCTTTTTTAAAAAGGAGGAAGGTGGGGTGGATTTTACAGTGACCAAAAGGCAAAGTGCTGGTGAAAACAATTCACTGGAAATAGTTTAATAAAAGATAACATGGGCGGTTTTCTCTTTTAAGACAAATAAGATGGAGAAGAACCTACAACCCTAAAGTCTAACCTAACATACAAATGATCTTTCAGAGGGGCCAGCGCTGTGGTGCAGCAGGTTTATGCCCTGGCCTGAAGTGCCGGCATCCCATATGGGATGCTCCTCTTCCCATCCAGCTCTCTACTATGGCCTGGGATAGCAGCCGAAGATGGCCCAAGTCCTTGGGCCCCTGCACCCGCGTGGGAGCCCCAGGAGAAGCTCCTGGCTCCTGGCTTCGGATTGGCGCAGCTCCGGCCGTTGCGGCCAATTGGGGAATGAACCAGCAGATGGAAGACCTCTCTCTATCTCTCTACCTCTCTCTGTAACTCTGTCTTTCAAGTAAATAAATCTTTAAAAAAAAATAATCTTTCAGAATGTTACATAAACTTATATTCACCTACAAAATACATTTGATATTAACTATTGTTGCATGAATCAGTACTTTATTACTTATATTGATGAATGTTCACTCAGTGTTTTAGATATCTGAGTCATCTTCAAGTTTTAATGATTATGAATAATAGGACTGAATATCTGAATGAGTTATTGTGTGACCAGTTTTCATTTCACTTGGGTAGAAGTAAAGTTGCTGGCTAGATGTAAAATTGCTGGCTCATAGAGTTTAACTTTACAGAAAAAAAGTCAAGAGGCCAGCACTGTGACACAGCCAGCTAAAGCCCTGGTCTGTAGTGCTGGCATCCCATATAGGCGCCAATTTGAGTTCCCACAGCTCCACTTCCAATCCAGCTCTCTGCTATGGCTTGGGAAAGTAGAAGATGGCTCAAGTCCTTGGGTCCCTGCACCCTCGTGGGAGACCCGGAAGAAGCTTCTGGCTTCGAATAGGCTCAGCTCTGGTCATTGCAGCTATTTGGGGAGTGAACCAGAGGATAGAAGACCTCTCTCTCTCTCTGCTTCTACCTCTCTGTAACTCTGCCTTTCAGTTAAATTAATAAATCTTAAAAAAAAAAAAAAATGTTTTCCAGGGTCCAGCACTATAGTGTAGCAGGTAAACTGCAGCCTATAGTGCCAGCATCCCATACGGGCACCAGTTCAAGTCCCAGTTGCTCCACTTCCAATCCAGCTCTCTACTAATGGCCTGGGAAAGCAGTAGAAGATGGCCCAAGGCTTTGGGCCCCTGCAACTGCATAGGAGACCTGGAAGAAGCTCCTGGCTCCTGGCTTCGGATAGGCCCAGCTCTGGTCATTGCGGCCATTTGGGGAGTGAACCAGCAGATGAAACACCTTTCTCTCTTCCTGCCTCTGCTTCTCTGTAACTCTGCCTTTCAAATAAATAAATAAATCCTTAAAAAGAGTGTTTTCCAAAGTGGCTTTAATACCTTGAATTCCATTAACAATATTATGAGGTGCACTTGCTCCACATCGTGACTAGCACTTGATATTGTGTGGACTGTTTTATTTATTTATTCATTTAATAGGCAACGTGACAGAGAGAGAGGGAAAGACAGATCTTCCATCCACTGGTTCACTCCCAAATGTTCACCACAGCTGCAGCTGGGCCAAGCCAAAACCAGGAGCCTGTCACTCCATCTGGTCTCACACGGGCCCAAATACTTGGACTGTTATCTGCTTCTTATCATAAGTGCATTAGCAGGAAGCTGGAACAGAAGTGGATAGTAGGAACTCAAACCTGCACTCCAATATGGGATGCCAGCATTGCAACCCATTGCTTAACATGCTACACACAATGCCAGCCCGTGGGTTGCCTTTTTTTTTTTTTCATTTAGACATTTTTATAGGTATATAGTAGTATCTCCTCATGGTTTTAATTTAGATTTTCCTAATAATAATGTTGAGTATGTTTTTATGTACTTAATTTACCACCGCATATTTTCTTGGGTGGAGTATCTGTTCACATTTTTGCCAATTTCCTAATTAAGGTATTTTTAATTAAGTTTTTGATTATTCCTTACTGGCTAATTTTCCCTTTAAGCCTCTTCCATCTCCAATCAGCCAGTCTTTGAGAATTACAATCTATAAATAACTAAGTACAAAATTACTCCACTATGTACCTTTCTTCTAGATTTGTGTATACACTACACTATTACGTTGGTAAACTGATTCTTACATATCCTCCTTAAATAACATCTAATTAAGTATTACTCTTTTTTTGTAATTTAAAATAGACAATCTTTAAAACTTGTTCTGGATCTCAAATACTGTAATACTACAAATTACTGAAGACACTAGCACCAGTACTCTTCCTTACAATAAGTAAACCTAAATTTAAGTAATGTTTGGGAACTGAAAACAAAACAAGAAAGACATTTTCCAGATTTTAAAGATCAAAAAAAGGTAGCCAATGCAAGTAATATGCTTTGTGATTACCTCAAATTGCATTGGCTGAATGTTTTAACATGTATTACATTTTCCATTTAACCACAAAAACTCAAAATATGTATGTATTTGCTGAAGCAATGACTGCTGCATAAAGATACTCAACTGAACTAATCAAACAGAAATGTCTTTAGGGTTGCTGGTGGCAGTTTGAAAGTAGCTTGACAAAAACTACACGGGACTGACCTAAGTTTTGGAAACGTGGCCCCTCCAAAGAGTTTCCAAGCATGTACTTAGGTTAGCACAGTAACTGAAATAAGTATCCTTAAGTTCTGTACTATAGAAGCATATATATTCTATGCTAAATAAGCATTCGTTGAATTCTATACTACCTCTATAATATCAAAAATGTTTCTTTCGGACAGTCAAAACACCATTTTCTGAGTATGCTAAAAAATAACCTAACAGCAAAATTTTCAAGTTTCCATGGATAATGGTGGTTTCCAAAAGCAAAATATATCTTTTTTAAAAAGGAGGAAGGTGGGGTGGATTTTACAGTGACCAAAAGGCAAAGTGCTGGTGAAAACAATTCACTGGAAATAGTTTAATAAAAGATAACATGGGCGGTTTTCTCTTTTAAGACAAATAAGATGGATTGCAAAAAAAAAAAATACCACAAAATGATTTGCTGACGAAAGTCTGGGGACAAAGGATCGGCCTGCGCCTTCAACCAAGGTGAGCCCTCAACGTTCCAATCAGCCCGGTCGCCGACCACCGCCCCGCAGCTCTCGGACCCTCGGGCCTGTCCGAGCTGTGGCCCAGTCCGGCCGCTAAGCGGACCCCTCCTCCGTCCCGAAGCCCGACCGTACTCACTGTGAGTTCCAGAGCGGCCTGGGGTAAGCAGGGGCGGCTGCACAGGATGTGCTGACCCGGAACAAGGTCGAGGTAAAAAGACAAGCACCGTTATACTCCAGTAGGCCTCTCCAGCCATTAACTTCCAAACCCGCTGAGGCACACCAGGCAGAGCGCATCTTGGCCCCCAGGCACTTCCGGAAGCCCTCTAGGAACAGAGGAGGACTGACCGCTCTATGGTCGCCGGTGGAGGGGCGACACGCTTCCCTAAGCGTCCTCCTGCGCATGCGTGTTGAAGGACTATGCGGCCGCTGGTCGTAAACACTATGGGGACGCAGTCCTCAGTATCTCTGCTTTTTGCGGGGTTAGCTCCGCTGAGTGGCTGGCAGACGTGACGGTCACAGAGCTGACTCGCAGCCTTGCAGACGCCGGGGCTGGGAACGCGGCGAAGGAGGGAGCATTTCCTGGGTTTTAGGACACTAACGAGGTGGACTGCATGCTAGCTCTACTGTTCTCGCTTCGTAATCTTGTTACCACGTAGTGTAAAGAAAGAAAAGCAAGGCAAGGCGGAGGCAAGACACACAACCAGAAAAGGTTTATTCAGGGAACAAACCTGAGAGGGGCTCGAGGGAACACATGGTAGAGAAACACCTGGAAACACAGCAGAGTGAGGCCGTCCAATGGAGCTAGAGGGGGTAGGGGTCTGTGGGCCCCTCACACGTAGGTAGAATGTCCTTCACAAGCAGGCTAACAGCTGTGGCTGGAAAACCTGTCTCCAGACCCACTGGAATCTCCCCCACTAATAGCTTCTTGTACTGCATATGTGACCTTGCGACTTTAAGTCACACCTCCAGGATGGTTGCAATCTTTCACCCAGAGCTGACAGAGGAGGGGGCTGAGCCCCTAAGGAGACAGCCCCCTGCTACCTTCATGAGCCCCAAGCCAATTGACATATGTATGTGAAACCTCCTCCACCCCTCCAATGGGCTCCCCAAATAGTATGGCCCAATGAACAGTAATGCCTTAAAAACTCGGGACACTTCCTAAAAGCCAGTGTCCTGCTCCGACACTTCAGCTAGTCTCCTCTCAAACCAGACGCTTTTTCCGTCACTTGCTAATCAAATAAGTTTCTTTTCTGTCCAATAAAAGGTTCTGCCTCTTTGCAAAAGGCTTCCAGGCTTTTTATTTCTATACTAAGCTGAGGAAAAGAACCCACGAAACTCTGGCAACGAAAACTCTAGCAACCGCCCTCCCCCTGCGACTGGTAACACAGAGAGCACATTTTCATAGAAGCTTCATGCAAGATGGAGAGCTTGGGGGAGAGCAAGGCGAGGCTTGGGCTAAAATTGAGATATGGTTGAGAAGGTTTGGGAGGCTTGGAGGGCCAAGATAGGGTGGAGCTGGTTGGGGAAGAAAGTGGGGGTTCAGTCTGCTCTGAGTTAGATAGGTAGGGGACTAAAGTAGATCTGAGGCTTTTGTCCTTTGTCCATCACATAGACTGTAAATTTATTGAGGAATTCCTACTAATAATATTGTACCTGGGAATAGTACATGGTATACTATTAAGTGTTCAAAAATAATTATAATTGAATATATTTTTAATCTTAGATATTTTCCATCCATTCGTATCTTAATGAATTGCAATTTCTTACAAAACCTGTTTTCCCACTTAGCTTTTTAAATACAAAATCCATGATGTAAGCTTCAGGGATGAAGCCTAGTTTTTTTGGCTTTTTTAAAGATTTATTTATTTGAAAGGCAGAGTTACAGAGAGGCAGAGAGAGAAAGAGAGAGGTCTTCCATCCGCTGGTTCACAACCCAAATGGCTGCAACAGCAGGGGTTGGACAAGGCTGAAGCCAGGAAGGAGACTGGAGCTTCTTCTGGGTCTCCCACAAGGGTGCAAGGGTCCCATGACATGGACCATCTTCCACTGCTTTCCCTGGCACATTAGTAGGGAGCTGGATCAGAAGTGCAGCAGCCAGGTCTGGAAATTCACTCAAGATCCACCTCAGTCTTTCTCATGCCCCAGGGCATGGCGGCCAAGGTTCATGGTTGGCCAAGTATATCCACACCAAGTTGCAGAATAAAGAGAATATTACTGAGGCCCTACACAGGGCCAAATCCAAGTTTTCCATCTGCCAGAAGATCCATATCTCAAAGATGAGGACTTTACCACTTTTTTTTTATAAGATTTATTTATTTATTTGAAAGAGTTACAGAGAGAGAGAAAGAGAGGCAGAGAGGTCTTCCATCCGCTGGTTCTCTCCCCAGTTGGCCGCAATGTCCAAGCTGCACCCATCTGAAACCAGGAGCCACTTCAGGTCTCCCATGTGGGTGCAGGGACCCGAGGACTTGGGCCATCTTCTACTGCTTTCCCAGGCCATAGCAGAGAGCTGGATCAGAAGTGGAGCAGCCGGGACTTGAACCGGTGCCCATATCGGATGCCGGCACCGCAGGCGGCGGCTTTACCTGCTACGCCACAGCCCCAGCCCCATTTTTACAACTTTTAATTTGGATGAATTTGAAGACCTGGTGGTCCTTTTTTTTTTTTTTTTTTTTTTTTAGATTTATTTATTTATTTAAGAGTTAGAGTTACAGACAGTGAGAGGGAGAGACAGGTCTTCGGTCCACTGGTTCACACCCCAAATGGCCGAAACAGTAGGCGCTGCGCCGATTCAAAGCCAGGAGCCAGGAGCTTCTTGCGGATATCCCACATGGGTGCAGGGGCCCAAGGACTTGGGCCATCCTCCACTGCTCTCCAGGGCCACAGCCCTGGTGGTCCTTGGTTTGTTACAATAGTTTAAATCATTTGAAGTTGCTGATATTTAATGGTTTGGAGCATATAGAAATAGAAACTTCATGTGTTTAACCTAATATGTAAGCATTTTTTTCATGTGAGAATGTAGAGGTCTACAATAATCAGGTTATTCTGATTTTATTTCTGTACTTCAAATCCATTTCTTTTCATTCTAATGTGAATCCATAGACCACCCCACAACTTGTGACACCTGGGTCACTGTAGTAATGTTTTGAATGGTCTCCTTGTGTCTGCTTTTTTCTCTTTCTTACCTCTTTAAAAACCAAAATTATTTTTTCTCATTATATATTTATTTTGCTTTAGATGCCAGGAAAGAAGCTTATTTAGTCTTAAAGAATTTTGAAGAATGCCACACGACATATCTGCTTGGATCTCCTGGGACCAGTCTGACTCCCCCTTGGGGCTCAGCCCCTTCCCCAGCCAGCTCTGGGTGAAAGCTTGCACCCACCCTGAAGGTGTGATTTAAAGCTGCAAGGTCACACATGCAGAACAAGAAGCTATTAGTGTGGGGAGGTATCAGCTGGTCTGGAGACAGGCTTTCCAGCCACAACTAGTCAGCCTGCTTGTGGAAGAACATTCTACCTATGTATGAGGGGCCCAAAGACCCCCAACCCCACTAGATGGCCGAAAGAGAGAGCGAGAAGAGAGAGAAATATATCTTCCATCCACTGGTTTACTCCCCAAATGGCCACAATATCCAGCAGTGGGCCAGGTCAAAGCCAAGAGTCAGGAGCTTCATCTGGGTCTCCCACATGGGTGGCAGGGGCCCAAACACTTGGACCATCTTCCACTGCTTTCCTGGACATTAGCAGAGAGCTGGATCAGAAATGGAGTAGCTGGTACATGAAACAGCATCCATATGGGATGCCAATGTTGTAGGCAGCTGCTACCCACTACACACAACACCCATCCCTTCCATCACAAATGTTTTTTGTCTGTCTCCCTTTACTGTAATATAGACTTAAAATAGTAGGGATCTGGTTTATCTTGCTCCCTGCTATATCCCTAGTAACTAGAATAGAGGCCTGGCAATGTACTCAGTAAATACCGTTGAGTGAATAAATAAGAAGCAGGTTTAAAAAAAAAAAAAAGGCCCTTGACATTATAGAATTTAGCATCACAGAAGTGAGGTGGTTTGGAACATACAGGACCTCCCCATGAGGACAAGAAGATCTTGGTCAATGCTGTTTAATCAATAGGAATATATTATGATCCATCCATGTAATTTTTTGTTTATTTTTAAATATTTATTTATTTGAAAGGCAGAGTTACAGAGACAGAGTGATTTTCCATCCACAGGTTTACAAATCTCCACATGGCCACAATGGCTAGAGCCAAGTAAATCCGAAGCCAGGAGATAACTACTCTTAAAACCTCAGCCTAACTCTTGTATTACGTTACTAAGGTGGGAACAGGTTGTTCTGAAGTGTTTCCAAGTTTCTGGCTGTGTTTTCACTTGATAGACTTTGTACTTAGACTATAATGAAATAATTTTATGTTCATAGATGAGAAGATAGATCACTTGCTGAAGATACTATAAATAATACGTGTGTTAAGATTCAACTGTAGGGCCAACACTGTAGTGTAGCCAGTGAAGCCGCCACCAGCGGTGCCGGCATCCCATATGGGCACTGGTTCGGGTCCTGGCGGCTCCACTTCCGATCTGGCTCTCTGCTGTGGCCTTGAAGGGTAGTGGAAGATGGCCCAGGTCTTTGGGCTCCTGTGCCCACATGGGAGACCTGGGGGGAATCTCCTAGCTCCTGGCTTCGGATAGGCGCAGCTCCTGCCATTGTGGCAGGTTGGGGAGTGAACCAGTGGATGGAAGGCCTCTCTCTCTCTCTCTGCCTCTCCTCTGTGTAGCTCTGACTTTCAAATAAATAAATAAATATTTTTAAAAAAAAAATCAACTGTGCCTTTCTTGCCCCCTAGCCATCTTGGCGGCTACATTTGGTTGGAGGCCATCCCACACCTAAGGCAGGAAGATAGTGGTCACAAAGAAGACAAAAAAGTTGCTGGAGTCTATCAACTCTAGGCTCTAGCTCATGATGAAGAATGGAAAATATGTGCTACGGTACAAGCAGTCTCTGAACATGATCAGACAAAGCAAAGCGAAACTGGTCATCCTCACCAACAACTGCCTGGCTCTGAGGAAATTTGAAATAGAATATTAACATCATGTTGGCCAAAACTGGTGTCCATCACTATAGTGGCAATCATAATTAACTGGGCACCACTTGTGGAAAAAACTACAGAGTATGCACTCATTCTATCATTGATCCAGGTGATTCTGATATTATTAGAAACATGCCAGAACAGACTGGTGAAAAGTAAATCATGCAATTTTTTCTTTAATAAAACCTGCTACTGGGCCTGGCACTGTGGCCTGACACGCCAGCATCCTATATGGGCACCAGTTCAAGTCCCGGCTGCTCCACTTCTGATCCAGCTCTCTGCTATGGCCTGGGAAAGCAGAGAAGATGGCCCAAGTCCTTGGGCCCCTGCACCCACATGGGGTCCTGGAGAAGTCTCCTGGCTTTGCATCAGCTCAGTTCTGGCTGTTGCAGCCATTTGGGGAATGGACCAGTTGATGGAAGACCCCTCTCTGTAGCTCTACCTCTCAAATAGATAGAATCTAAAAAAAAGGAAGGAAGGAAGGAAGGAAGGAAGGAAGGAAGGAAGGAAGGAAGGAAGGAAGGAAGGAAGGAGAAAAGAAAGAAAGAATGTGAAATCAGGGCTCAAAATAGCCACTCTAATATGGGATGATGGTGTCCTAACATTGCATCCTTAATTAATTAATTAATTTCCTGGGCCAGCACTTCGGATTGTAGGTTAAGCCTCTGCCTGTGAGCCGGCATCCCATATGAGTGCCAGTTTGAGTCCCAGCTGCTCCACATCCAATCCAGCTTCCTGCTAATGGCCTGGGAAAGCAGTGGAAGATGGCCCAAATGCTTGGGCCCCTGCACCCACATGGGAGACCCAGAAGAAGTTCCTCGTTCCATTTCTGGGTTCAGACTGGCCAAGCTCCGGCCATTGTGACCATTTGGGGATTGAACCCGTGGATGGGAGACCTCTTTCTCTGTCTATAACTCTATCTCTCAAAAAAATAAATAAATCTTCAAAAAAAATTCCTTCAATCCCCCTCTTCTCTATCTTATTTCCCCCTCTTCACCAATGTCCATTTATACCTCTTACAACCCTCTCCCTCAAGACACTTATTTATTTCATTTTTAACTATTCATTTATAATTATTTATAGCTATTTGGATATATGATTTGCCCTACAAAGTTCTTTGTATTGGAAACTTGGTCCCCAATGTGGCAGTACTGAGGCAATGGAATCTTTAAGAGATGGATCTAGTGGCAGGTAATTAGGTCACGGGGCTCCACCCCATTCTTATAACAGGATGGGTCGGGTATTACACAATTAGATGCATTCTCTCAAAAGCAACATCTCTGCCCCTTCTTTAAACAATTTCCTTTTCAACCACAAATTCATAATGTAACCAGGAGGGTTCCTTGCCAGTGCCAGTTACTGGTGACCCTTCAGTCACCAGAATCATGGGCCAGATAAACCTTTAATTTACTCAGCTTTTAGGTATTTTGTAATGGTAACACTAAACAGAGTAAACCAGCTCCCTCATAATCATTTCATTACCAACCCCATGTGTGATTGAGAAAGCTATCCCTGTATTTCCTGTAGCTGCCTTTTTTTTTTTTTAAGATTTATTTATTTATTTGAAAGGCAGAGTTAAGAGAGGCAGAGAGAGAGAGAGAGAGAGAGAGAAAGAGAGAGTCTTCCATCCACTGGTTCACTCCCCAAATAGCCACAATAGCCAGAACTGGGCCAATCCGAAGCCAGGAGCCAGGAGCTTCTTTTAGGTCCTCCCACACAGGTGCAGGGGCCCATCATCTACTGCTTTCTCAAGCTATAGTAGAGAGCTGGATCTGAAGTGTAGTAGCCAGGACTCAAACTGACGCCCACATGGGATTCCAGCACTGCAGGCGGTTGGCCCCGCTACCTGCCTCTTAACAATCACTGTCTCAACTGTTAGATCATGAATACTACAAAATTCAAGTTTTTGCCTCCTCCCTCCAAAAAGAAGAGAGAAGCAGCCATGCATGTGATTCAAATAGCATGTATGTGCTTCTGACACAACTCTTGATAAATTGATTCGGTGTTTAGAGTTCTTTTAGAGTAAATTGTCCATCTAGGACAATTCTCCCTTAGAACCTAGTGGTTCTGATTAGTGTGCAACATGTTAAATCTTCTCTTCCAGTAATTGTATGATTAAACTTATTGCAATACTCCCACCAGTTTCTTTTGTGGGTTTCTACAGACTTACTAGGACATTGCCTGCTTCTCCATACTACCAGCAACTACTTAGATCTCCTTTGACCTCATGCTTTCTTTCCTTTTAAAAAAAAATTTTCACTTTATTTGAAATACAGAGAGACAGAGATCTTCCACCTGCTAGTTCACTCCCCAAAATGTCCATAATAACAAGGTCTGGATCAGGCAGAAGCCAAGAGCCTGGAACTCAGTCTGGGTCTTCTACATGGCTGGCAGGACCCTAAGTGTTTGGCATCCCATCTCCTGTCTCCCAGGGTAAACATTAGTGGGAAGCTAGATCAGATGTGGGGGAGCCAGGACTCAAACCAGGCACTCAGACATGTGATGCAGGCATTCCATGTAGCATCTTAACTACTGTCCCAAACATCTACACCCTCTTTGCCTTTTGCCTGCAGTTACCCCACACTTCATTGATAATTCTTGTCTTACCTACCTCACTTCAGGCTGTCTCCGGCCACATATATTTTTGCCCTTCCCTGACTCTTACCATTACCCTCTGGTCAACATTAGACCAAATTTGTGGTGGCCACTGGTGGCAGTTTGGGATCAACACAAAACCTAAAAAGGAGAGCAGGCATGTAGTGCTCCAAACTACACTCAGCCTTTAAGGGTACAGAACTCTAACAACTCTAAAAACAGTTCTTGGGACAAAACTACTAGCTGAATTGAGTGTTCTGTCACATAGAGGATGATAGGAGAATACAAGTTTGTCATGTCTTCACTAATTTCAGGGAACTGAATCCTGGGTCCAAGATCATCTTTCTTATCAATGCAGAAGCTTCTCTAAATTCAAGGAAGAATAAGATCACAAACTTAAGTTCCCCCTTGAATATTATGAAAAGCTAAGCCTTGGTGTTTCTCAACAAGACTAAAGGTAAAGGGGTAAAGCCATTATTCAGTGAACATGTTTCTTTTGTAAAAGATTTATTTATTTGAAAGGCACAGTGACAAGGGATGAGAGATCAATCTCCCACCTGCTGGTTTACTCCCCAAATATCGGGACTGGGCCAAGTCAAAGCCAGGAGCCTGGAACTCCATCTGGTTTACCCACATAGGTGGCAGGGGCCCAAGTACTTGAGCCATCTCTCTCTGACTCTACCTCTCTCTCTAACCCTGTCTCTCAAATAAATAAAACAAATCTTTAATTAAAAAAAGTAGTGTTATGCTCAAAGACAATAAAAACTCCATTTACATTATGGTGTTATGAGGAATGCTTTAAGAGTTATCTTCCAAAGTAGTAGATATAAAAATGATTCTTGTGGTCTTCCTGATCTCAAACACAATGCAAAAACAAGTATGTTTAATTACTATCTTCAGCAAGAGATTTGAAGCACTTAGATCACTCCTTTTTTGATCGTTTTGGCAATTCCTAAAACCAGTCAAGGAATGAGAGGTTCACGGAGTTCAATAGTGCTAGAAGTTTGAATATACCAGGCCTCTGGCCACAATTCCTGTCATACTATAAAACTCTCCAATTAGCAATGTAAAAATCTATAAAAGTACTTGACAGTGATTGCACAAGATGGCTGAACAGAGAGGCCCTGCACTCACTTTTTTTTTTTTTTTAATTTTTGACAGGCAGAGTGGACAGTGAGAGAGAGAGAGAGACAGAGAGAGAAACAGAGAGAAAGGTCTTCCTTTCCATTGGTTCACCCCCAAAATGGCCACTACAGCCAGCGCTGCGCCGACCCGAAGGCAGGAGCCAGGCGCTTATCCTGGTCTCCCACGGGGTGCAGGGCCCAAGTCCATCCTCCACTGCACTCCCGGGCCACAGCAGAGAGCTGGCCTGGAAGAGGGGCAACCAGGACAGAATCCGGTGCCCTGACCGGGACTAGAACCTGGTGTGTCGGCGCCATAAGGCGGAGGATTAGCCTATTGAGCCACGGCACCAGCCTGCACTCACTTTTAGTACAGAAAAAAACAACAGAATGAGGGCCAGCATTGAGAGCTAGTTCAAGTCCCAGCTGCTCTGCTCCCCAGCCAGGCCCTTGCTAATGTGCCTGAGAAAGCAGTAGAAAATGGCCAGGGTGCTTGTGCCCTGCCACCCATGTGGGAGACCTGAATGAAGTTCCTGGCTCCTGGCTTTGGCCTGGCCCAGTCCCAGACATTAGGGCTATTTGAGGAGTGAACCAATAGATGAAAGATCTCTCTCTCTCTCCCTCCCTCTCTCTCTCTCTGTAACTCTGTCTTTCAAATTTTAAAGATTTATTTATTTATTTGAAAGTCAGAGTTACACAGAGAGAGGCAGAGAGAAAAAGAGCTCTTCCATCTGATGGTTCACTCCCCAGATGGCTGCAATGGCTGGAGCTGTGCTGATCCGAAGCCAGAAGCCAGGAGCTTCTTCCAGGTCTCCCAAGTGGGTGCAGGGACCCAAGGACTTGGGCCATGTTCTTCTCGGGCTATAGCAGAGAGCTGGACAGGAAGTGGAGCAGCCAGGTTTAGAACTGGTGCCCATATGGGATGCTGGTGCTTCAGGCCAGGGCGTTAACCCACTGCGCCACAGCACCGGTCCCATAAAAATAAATCTTAAAAAAAAAAAAAAATAACAAAGGAAGGATCACATTTTTAGCAGACTGCCTGAGTGAAAACTTCAGTAAAGAAGTACAACAATTCTAAACAGTACAGAGAAAGAACAACACATACTGTCACTCCCACCATGGCTCCCCAGCTGGGAGGACCCCATCTTCTGGAGAAAGGAAAGCAGAAAGCTTCATCTTTGCCATAAAGCAGCATATCTAACTACAGGAGAATTTTCCAGTCCTTACTGGCCTTAATCCAGTCTAGAAAGTTGACTGGGGTCCCACAGGTTGCTTTATTCCCAAAAAAGGAACCCACATCACCTCCCTCCATCTTCAAGCCCCAGACCTGCGCTGCTGTGGTACAGCCATGGCTAGACTTCATTCTGGCTTAGGAGACAGCAAGCAGCCCCACCACTGCCAGAAGCCCCAAGGGCCAGAGTCAGGGGGATTTCAAAGGAAAGAGAGCAGACCCCTCTGCATCCTGCAGCTGAAGGATTGCTGGGAACAAGTCCTGGAGTCACATTTACTACCTGCATGATATAGGGAAGTTCCCCCTCCGCTCCTTGGGCCTAAGAACAAGCAGTAACCAACAGACAAGCCCAGGTGATCAGGCCTGAGGATGCCTCCTTCTGCATTTCTTGGCACAAGGTTCTGGATGACCAGGGCACAAGGCCAGCATCAGCCTTGCATGTCCTGGGGGAATAGTACCTTCTTTGTCCTGCAGCTTTGGGACAGTAGTTGTGAGTGCCACAATTGCTACAGTAACTCAACATTCGCTGGTGGGCCCTATTTGCATTTCTGTTACAAGCTGAAGGCTGTAACTCCCTGGTATAACTGGCTCTTGACCTGTGAGACCTGGCTAATGACCTCACTGCATACAAAAGATTATGAGAAAACATATGGACAACTATATGCTAAAAAATTAGAAAACCTCAAAGAAACCTGGGCATAAACAACCTACCAACACTGAATCACGATTTAGAGGGCAGGAGGAAGGGTAGGGTGGGAAGTATCACTATGTTCCTAAATCTGTATATTTGAAATACATGAAATTTGTATAACTTAAATAAAATTTTTAAAAAACATAAAAAAGTGGAGTAAAAAAAGGGAAAAAGAACATTTAGAAGATATAAACAGAATAATATTAATGAGATTGAAGCAGTAACTAAAAATCTTCTATCAAACAAAGTTCAGGATCTGACAGTTTCACTACTGAATTCTACAAAACATTTAAAGAGGAGGTAATTCCAATACTTTTCAAACTATTCCAAAATATCCAAAAGTACAGAACTTTGTTAAACTCTTTACATGAGGTCAGCACTACTCTGATACCAAAAACAAATATACAACACAAACATAAAACTACAGAACAATATTCTTGATGAAGATGAATGCAAAAATTCTCAACAGAATATCAGCAAAGTGAATCTAACACTACATATAAAGATCATACATCACAATCAAATGGGATTTGTACCAGGGATGCAAGGTTTGCAAATTAATAAATGTAATAAATCACATTAGCAGCATAAAGAACAAAAAACATATCATTACCTCAAAAATGCAAAAAGAAAAGCACCTGATAAGATTCAATGCCCTTCCATGATGAAATCAAAAATTAGGCATAGAAGTAACATACCTGAAAATTATAATGGCCATACATGACAAAACCACACTGGAAGTACCACACTGAAAAGAGAACATCTGAGAGCATTTCACATCAGACCTGGAACAAGAAAAGGATGTCCATTTTCACGACTCCTATATAGTACTGAAGTACTAACAAGAGATTTAGGGAAGAGAACAAAATAAAGGGCATCAAAATTCGAAAGAAGTCAGAATATCTATGTTTGCAGATATGATTTTGTACAAATGATAAAACCAATTCAGCAAAGTGGCAGTATACAAAAATCAACATACAAAAAATCAGAAGCATTTTTATACAGCAACAATGATCTTGTGAAAAAGGAAATCAATCACAATAGCTACAAAAATATCAGTATTTAGAAATAAATTTAATTAAAGGTATCTAAACACTGATGAAAGAAGAAAAAAAGAAATTAGCAAGTGCACAAAAATTGGAAAACTATCCCTTATTCATAGATTGGAAGAATTAACATTGTTAAAATATAGATAGTATTATTACCTAAAGCAAACAACAGATTCAGTGCAATCCCTATCAAAATACAAATGACATTCTTTCTAGAATTAAAAAATAATCCTAAAATTCACATGGAACCACAAAAGACCCAGAACAGCAAGAGAGATCATGAGTCAAAACAAAACAAACAAAAAGGCATCACGAAACCTAATTTCAAAGAATACTACAAGGGGCCTCTGCCTGCAGTGTCCATTCCACATGGGCACCAGTCCAAATCTTGGCTGCTCCACTTCTGAGGCGGCTCCCTGCTAATGCATCTGGGAAAGCAGAAGATGGCACAAGCACTTGGGTCCCTGAACCTACATGGGAAACCTGGAGGAAGCTCTTAGATCCTGGCTTCAGCCTGGCCCAGCCCCAGCCATTGTAGCCATTTGGGGGGTAAACCAATGGATGGAAGATTCTCTCTCTCTCTCGCTCTCTTTCTCTCTCTGCCTCTGGCTCTCCTTCTCTGTAACTCTTTCAAATAAATCTTTAAAAAAAATTAAAACAGCATCATACAGCCATAAAAACCTACATATAGAACAAAATAGAGAACCTAGAAGTTAATCCATGCACATAGAGCCAACTGATTTTTTACATACACTGGAGAAAGGAATCTTTTCAATAAATGGGGCTGGCAAAACCGTGTATGTATATATGTAGAAGCAAGAAATTAGATCCCTACCTCTCACCATATACAAAAATAAAATAAAAATGGATTGAAGACCTAAATGTAAGATCTCAAACTATGAGACTGCTAGAAGAAAACAGGAGAAATGCTTCAAGACAATGGTGCTAGCAATTATTCTTTTAATAAGACCCCAAAGCAAAGGCACTACAAATAAAACTAGACAAATGGGATTATACCAAACTCAGAAGCTTCTGTACAGCAAAGGAAACCACAACAGAATGAAGTTATCCAATAGAATGAAGGGAAATATTTGCAAGCCACTTACCTGACAAGGGATTAATATCAAGAATATATGAGGGGGGCTGACGCTGTGGCGCAGCAGGCTAAAGCCCTGGTCTGCAGCACTGGCACTCCACATGGATGCCAGTTGCTCCATTTCCGATACAGCTCTCTGCTGTGGCCTGGGAAAGCAGTAGAAGATGGCCCAAGTCCTTGGGTCCCTGCACCCATTTGGGAGACCTGGGAGAAGCTCCTGGCTCCTGGCTTTCGATCAGTTCATCTCTGGCCATTGTGGTCATTTGGGCAGTAAACCAGCAGATGGAAGCTCTCTCTCTCTCTCTGGCTCTACCTCATTCTATAACTGTCTTTCAAATAAATAAAATAAATCTTAAAAAAAATACATGAGGAACACAAAAAACTCAACAACCAATCCAGTTAAGAAATGAGCAAGGCAGATTGATAAAATTGGACCCCTGGTCCCAAGCCAACAGTATGTGGTATTACCATTCCAGTCTGATGTGTGAATCCTGGCATCACCATGGTTACCCTTGAAAAATAGAATTTTAGACAGTTGATGAGACTTTACTCAGACCAAGGAATATCTTTTATGGTCTAAGAAACACAATGAATATAAAAAAAAAAAAATTGAGCAAGGGCCAGCGCCACAGCTCACTTGGCTAATTCTCCGCCTGCGGCACCGGCACCCCAGGTTCTAGTCCCGGTTGGGGCACCAGATTCTGTCCTGGTTGCTCCTCTTCCAGTCCAGCTCTCTGTGGTGGCCCAGGAGTGCAGTGGAGGATGGCTCAGGTCCTTGGGCCCTGCACCCGCATGGGAGACCAGGAGGAAGCACATGGCTCCTGGCTTTGGATCGCCACAGCACGCCGGCAGCAACGCACCGGCCATAGCAGCCACTTGAGGGGGTGAACCAATGGGAAAAGGAAGACTCTCTCTCTCTCTAATTCTGCCTGTCAAAAAAAAGAAAAGAAAGAAAGAAATGAAATGAGCAAGGGACCCGAATAGACATTTCTCAAAAGAAATACAAATGGTGGCCAACAAATATATAAAAAATTGCTCAGTATCACTAGCTATCAGGGAAATGCAAATCCAAATCACAATGAGGTATCACTTTATCCTTGTTAGAATGACTATTATCAAAAAGACAGAAAACAGGCCAGCGCCGCGGCTTACTAGGCTAATCCTCTGCCTTGTGGCGCCGGCACACCGGGGTTCTAGTCCCGGTCGGGGCGCCAGATTCTGTCCCGGTTGCCCCTCTTCCAGGCCAGCTCTCTGCTGTGGCCAGGGAAGTGCAGTGGAGGATGGCCCGGGTGCTTGGGCCCTGCACCCCATGGGAGACCAGGAAAAGCACCTGGCTCCTGGCTCCTGGCTCCTGGCTCCTGGCTCCTGCCAACGGATCAGCGCGGTGCGCCGGCCGCAGCGCGCCGGCCGCGGCGGCCATTGGAGGGTGAACCAACGGCAAAAGGAAGACCTTTCTCTCTCTCTCTCTCACTGTCCACTCTGCCTGTCAAAAAAAAAAAAAAAAGAAAGACAAAACAACAAACACTGGATAGGATGTGGAAAAAAGAAAACTCTTAAATGCTTTTGATGGAAATGTAAATTTGTAGAGCCACTATGGAAAACAGTATGGAGATGCCTTTAAAAACTAGAAACAGAACTACCATATGGGAACCAGTGCTGTGGCACAGCGGGGTAATGCCCTGGCCTGAAGCGCCAGTATCCCATATGAGCGCCGGTTCTAGTCCCAGCTGCTCCATTTCTGATCCAGCTCTCTGCTATGGCCTGTGAAAGCAGAAGATGGCCCAACTTGGGCCCCTGCACCCATGTGGGAGACACGGAAGAAGCTCCTGGCTCCTGGCTTCGGATCAGCACAGCTCTGGCCGTTGCAGCCAATTGGGGAGTGAACCATCGGATGGAAGACTCTCTCTCTGCCTCTTCTCTCTCTGTGTAACTCTGACCTTCAAAAAAATAAATAAATCTTTTAAAAAACAAAAAGAGCTACCATATGATCCAGCAATCCCAGTACTGGGTATGTATCCAACAGACATGAAGTCACTATATCAAAGATATACCTACAACCACCACCATGCTTACTGTAGCATTGTTCACAATAACTAAGACATGGAACCAAACACTAGATGGATAAAAAAGTGTGACATATATACACATATTATTCCACCATAAGAAAGAAAGAGGGAGCAAACTAGATGAAACTGCATGACACTGTTAAGCAAAATAATCCATGTGTAGAAGCTTAAAAAAAAAATGGAACACAGAACGGTAATTACTGGAGTCTGGGAGGAAAGCGATTGATACAGAAAGTTTGGATAATGGGGCAAATTAGAGTTAGATGAAGAAATAAGTTCCTAATGTTACACGACATAGTGGGGAGACTATAAGCTCACAGCTTCCAATCATAATATAATGTCAAAGGAGAAATGCTGATTATTCTGTTTTGATCAGTACACATCACACACGATAGCCCATAAAATGTACAATTGTTTTTTTTTAATTTACATAAAAGAAACTCATCCAATTTTTTAAAAATTTTATTTAAGGTATACAACCTTCATGTATAGAAATCCATCCATGAAATGGTAATGCATTCAAAAGTCAAAAGAAAAAAAATTGGAATGTACACCATATAGAATATTTGTGTTCCAAGAATCCTAGTTCCTCATTAGTTTAGGTTATCTGATACATATTTTGTAAGGTAATCACATACTTTGCACACAGGTGAGTGGTAATTTGATCTAAATCTAATTCCAGGGGCTGTGGCACAGGTTAACGCCCTGGCCTGAAGTGCCAGCATCCCATTTTGGCACCGATTCTAATCCCGGCTGCTCCACTTCTGATCCAGCTCTCTGCTATGGCCTGGGAAAGCAGTGGAAGATGGCCCAAGTCCTTGGGCTCTTGCACCCATGTGGGAGACCTGGAAGAACCTCTTGGCTCCTGGCTTCAGATCGTCACAGTTCCGGCCATTGCGGCCAATTGGGGAGTGAACCATAGGATGGAAGACCTCTCTCTCTCTCTCTCTCTCTCTCTCTCTCTCTCTCTCTGTCTCTCCTCTCTCTGTGTAACTCTGACTTTCAAATAAAGAAATAAATTTTTAAAAAATCATCTAATTCCATTTAGATTAGATTATGTTTACTTTAACAATCCTCTTCCTCCAGTTATAATACACCCCTTTTCACAAGGCTGCAAAGTGTCATTAAGTTAACTAGCCCAAGAAGATGCAGGGGCCCTTCTCCACAGGTCAAATCAATTTCTTTGGTTGTTATTGCAGCCTCCTTGGTGTCTTTCACACAGTAAGGCAGGAAGAGATCTCATTAGTGGCTGATTTAGCTATCAATATCCTCTAGAACTTTCTGCAATGAGAAAATTGGTCTGTATCCATGCATTGAATATAGCAGCTACTCAGATTGAATATTCTGTATTCAACAAGCTTGAGGCCAGAAGTATTCAGATTTAATGTGTTTTTTTAATTGTGGAATATTTGCATATACATAATGCAATCTGGGGATTGGACTCAACTCTAAACAGGAAATTCATCAATGTTTTATACCTTATGCACACTGTCCAGAAGTAACTCTACACAATATTTTAAATAATTTTGCATAGAAACAAGGTTTGTAAGTCACAGCTAACGGGGCTGAGAGGGCGTGCTTTTTTTCACTTAGGTTACTGAAAGTATACACCTGCATTTTTACTGCAACCTGACACAGTAATTAGGTATGAAACTTTTCACTAACAACATCATGTTGGAACTCAAAACATTTGATTTTGCAACATTTAAGATTTGGATTTTCCACACCCATGTGGGAAACCTGGATGGAATTTCAGGCTCCTGGCTTTGGCCTGGTCCAGCCCCAGCTATTGTAGCCATTTGGGGAGTGAACTAGTGGTTGGAAGATCTCTCTCTGTAACCCTGCCTTTCAAATAAATAAATCTTTTAAAAGAGAGAGAGAAAGAAATACGGCTAATGTCACTGAGGAAGGAAATTTTTTATTTAAGAAGAATTTATATAGCCACATGTTGATACAGACTACAATATTGGCCAGCATAGATACATGCCAACATCTCTCATCTCTTTCAGTTTATGAAGGCCTGAGAACCAGAAGAAGTGTTTTATCCTAAGTTATAGGTACCTAACACACTCTAGTATACCCCTTCACAGCAGCACTTACTGATAGTGATTGGTTACTGATTTCACTTCCACTTTGTTTTCTTCAATCTGTGTCTTTTCTGATGACTTCATTTTTACCACTAACAAAGATCACACCCAGGCTACTCAAAGACTCAAAAAAAAGATATAAGTATTTAAGCAGTTATACAGATAATGATGGAGCAAAATAATTAATATTCTTTTAGTTAATTTCAAAAGCAGTTTTAATCTATTTTAACCTGTCAAAACACACCTGCTTATGGCCTCCATTATCACCTACACTGTACAGGAAGAATGAAGGCAAAATTAATTTCCTTCCTGAAGTCATACACTGAATAGGAACTAGAGAAAAGAGAGGTATACTTTCAACCAGGAAATATGGATCTTGGACTACAAGTGAGTAGTGCAGTGGAAAGGCTTTGAAAGCCTTGAAAGCCTTCTTGATTCTTCCCAAACTCTAAAGTAATTTAGAAATAAAAGGCTATTTCCCTTAAGAGTCTCAAGGGCCAGAGAAGTTTTTCACAACTGAAGCTCTGCTTACATTCAGCAAACCAATAAGGCCTCTAGGTAAATTCTCTGATAAGCAATTGGCCCTGGAGCCAGTGTTGTGGCATAATGAGTAAAGCCGCTGCCTGTGATGCCTGTATCTCATAAGAAGTTGGTTTTTAGCCGGCGCCGCGGCTCACTAGGCTAATCCTCCGCCTTGCGGCGCCGCCACACCGGGTTCTAGTCCCGGTCACGGCGCCGGATTCTGTCCTGGTTGCCCCTCTTCCAGGCCAGCTCTCTGCTGTGGCCTGGGAGTGCAGTGGAGGATGGCCCAAGTGCTTGGGCCCTGCACCCCATGGGAGACCAGGAGAAGCACCTGGCTCCTGCCATCAGATCAGCACGGTGCGTGGCGGCCATTGGAGGGTGAACCAACGGCAAAGGAAGACCTTTCTTTCTGTCTCTCTCTCTCTCACTGTCCACTCTGCCTATCAAAAAAAAAAAAAAAAAAGTTGGTTTTTAGATTTGTTAAAATTTATTTGAGGGGCCAGCACTATGGCGCAGAGAGTTAATGCCCTGGCCTGGAGCACCAGCATCCCATATAGGCGCCGGTTCAAGACCCAGATGTCCATTTCCGATCCAGCTTTCTGCTGTGACCTGGGAAAGCTGTAGAAGATGGCCCAAGTCCTTGGGCCCCAGCACCCATGTGGGAGATCCAGAAGAAGCTCCTGGCTTCGGATCGGCACAGCTCTGGCCGTTGCAGCCAACTGGGGAGTGAATCATCAGATAGAAGATCTCTCTCTCCTCATTAGTGTAACTCTTTTGAATAAATAAATACATTTTTAAAAATTATTTTTTTGAAAGAGTTACAGCAAAAGAGAGAAATCCCATATGAGATGTCGGCACTGCAGATGGTGTAAACCACTGCACCACAGCACCAGCCCACGGGGTGCTGTTTGAGTCCCAGCTACTCCATTTCTGATCCACCTCTCTGTTATTGTCCTGGGAAAAGCAGAAGATGGCCCAAGTGTTTGGGCTCCTGCCACCCACATAAGAGACATAAATGAAGCTCTTGTCTTCAGCCTGGCCCAGGACTGGCCATTGTAGTCATCTGGATCGATCGATTGATCGATCTATCTATCTACCTATCTATCTATATCTAACTCCCTCCATCCTGCACCATAACTCTTTCAGAATAAATAAGTCCTCACAAAATAATAATAATAATTAGGCCTGAGTACCTATTACTTCTACCATGTTAGTAGGGCGAATGTGCTATATGAATTCTTTGATGTCTAATAAGAGCTGAACTTACACGGAAGGGCCTCCCACACTCATCACACTCATATGGTTTTTCACCTGTGTGGATTCTCTGATGCTGAGTAAGACCTGTGCGTCCACTGAAATCTTTCCCACATTCTTTACATTTATAGGGCTTCACTCCACTGTGTACTCTGTGATGTCCAATAAGATGTGAACATTGAATAAAGGCTTTGCCACACTCATCACATTTATAGGGTTTCTCTCCAGTGTGAGTTCTTCTATGCTTACTAAGGTCTGAGCTATGACTGAAACTTTTCTCACATTCTTCACACTTATATCGTCTTCTTTTCCTGTGTTGCCATTCTAAACTGCCTTCATTTTCAATAGCATCTTTGGATTCACAATGCTGAGGACAATCTTCGTTAAGTCTATTATTTAATTCCCCAAGGAATTCCACATCTTTAATCATATCTTTCGTCTGGAACAACTCTTCTTTTGTAGTAATGGTTTTATCACCTGTAACAAACAAACAATACACAAATAGGTCCTATTCTAGGTTTGGGATGCAAAAAGTCTATGGAGGAAAGAACATCAAAATTTCACAGAGGTCGGTGCTGTGGTGTAATGGGTAAAGCCACCACCAGCAATGCTAGCATCCCAAATGGGTGCTGATTCCAGTCCCGGCTGCTCCACTTCCGATCCAGCTCTCTGCTATGGGCTGGGAAAGCAGTAGAAGATGGCCCAAGTCCTTGGGCCCCTGTGCCTGCATGGGAGACTCTGAAGCTCCTGGCTCCTGGCTTCAGATCAGCCACTGCAGCCATTTGGGGAGTGAACCAGTGGATGGAAGACTTCTCTATCTCTGCCTCTCTCTGTAACTCTTCTTTTCAAATAAATAATTAAAAAAAATGTCACAAACATGTTATAAAGTAAGGCACATACAACACACATATGATATTTGGCATCACCTCAATTTTGATACTAACCTAGCATATAGTCACAATACAGGAAAGAAATTAGGAAGAAGTAAGTAAGGAAATGACAGCCGAATAAGTTATTTGAAAGTAGATTGAGAGAAAAAGGCAAAAATGTGGTTCGAGAGATTACCTGACCATTTGTTCAAAGTATGCAAAGGCAGTGTGGTAAATGGGGGGGAAAGGGCGGGGGGGGGCTATAGATATATCAAGGATGGGGCCGGCACTGTGGCATAGTGGGTAAAGCTGCTGCCTGCAGTGCCGGCATCCCATGTGGGCGCCGGTTCGAGTCCTGGCTGCTCCACTTCTGATCCAGCTCTCTGCTATGGCCTGGGAGAGCAGTAGATGATGGCCCAAGTCCTTGGGCCCCTGCACCCTTGTGGGAGACCCAGAAGAAGCTCCTGGCTCCTGGCTTTGGATTGCCACAGCTCCAGCTGTTGTGGCCATCTGGGGAATGAACCAGCAGATGGAAGACAATTCTTTCTCTCTCTCTCTCTCTCTCTCTACTTCTCCTTCTCTGTGTGTAACTCAGACTTTCAAATAAATAAATCGGCCAGCGCCGCAGCTCACTTGGATAATCCTCCGCCGCCTGCGGCGCTGGCACCTCAGGTTCTAGTCCCAGTTGGGGCGCTGGATTCTGTCCCGGTTGTTCCTCTTCCAGTCCAGCTCTCTGCTGTGTTCCGGGAAGGCAGTGGAGGATGGCTCAGATCCTTGGGCCCTGCACCCACATGGGAGATCAGGAGGAAGTGCCTGGCTCCTGGCTTTGGATCAGCGCAGCGCGCCAGCAATGGCAGTCATTTGGGGGGTGAACCAACAGAAAAAGGAAGACCTTTCTCTCTGTCTCTCTCTCTCTCACTAACTCTGTCAAAAAAATAATAAAATAGGGCTGGCGCTGCGGCTCACTAGGTTAATCCTCCGCCTTGCAGTGCCGGCACACCGGGTTCTAGTCCCGGTCGGGGCGCCGGATTCTGTCCTGGTTGCCCCTCTTCCAGGCCAGCTCTCTGCTGTGGCCAGGGAGTGCAGTGGAGGATGGCCCAAGTCCTTGGGCCCTGCACCCCATGGGAGACCAGAAGTACCTGGCTCCTGCCATCGGATCAGCGCGGTGCGCCGGCCGCGGCGGCCATTGGAGGGTGAACCAACAGCAAAAGGAAGACCTTTCTCTCTGTCTCTCTCTCTCACTGTCCACTCTGCCTGTCAAAAAATAAAAAAAAATTTTTTTAAATAATAAAATAAAATCAATCAATCAATCAAATAAATTTTATAAAATAAAATAAATAAATAAAACAGGATTTAAGACCTGAGAAGAATGTCATGGACAGGAACCACCCAAGGAGGGGAGTTTGTATAAGGCATAATAGCTGGAAGCAGAGTAAGAGCTCACAGGTCAGGATACAGAGGAAGGAAAATGAGTAGGGAATTGACAGTGGATGTGTATGTGGTGTATGTACTGGACTAATTTTTTTTTCCTGAAACTGATGTCTTCACTATCATCACCTTTTTTTTTTTTTTTAAGATTTATTTATTTATTTGAAAGTCAGTTACACAGAGAGAGAGGTCTTCCACCTGCTGGCTCCCTCCCCAGTTGGATGCAACAGCCAGAGCTGCACTGATCTGATCTGAAGCCAGAAGCCAGGAGCTTCTTCCAGGTCCCCCACATGGCTGCAAAGGACTTGGGCCATCTTCCACTGCTCTCCCAGGCCACAGGAGAGAGCTGGACTGGAAGTAGAGCAGCCAAGACTTAAACTGGCACCCACATGGGATGCCGGCACTGCAGGCAGCAGATAACCCACTACATCACACAATGCCAGCCCCTTATCACCTGTCTAATCCTAGCTTGTTTTCTTACTTTACTGTTCCTCAGAATCACAGATTTCTGGGCTTACTCTGTCCCTAGTTTCCAATTTGTTAAGGATAGAGTGGAAATTAAGAATTTGCATTTCTAGCAAGTTTCCAGGTGAGACAGATTCTGCTGGTCCAGGAACCATACTTTGAGAAACACTGGTCTTACCATTTCCCAAGGTACACTTCAAACTCTTCTCTAGTGAGTCTTCCTTAATCTCCCCAGCTAAATGTGCTTTCTTCCCCTTCCTAATTCTCATGTCCTTAACCTCAAGCTCGGCATAGAACTTGCCACACATTGCCAAGTACTCAGTAAATACTTGATTGTATAAGAAAAGAGCTGTTCTGCCCATGGTGCTGGTATTCCAGGCATCCCATACGGGCACCAGTTAATGTCCCAGCTGCTCCTCTTCCAATCCAACTTTCTGCTTATGGCTTAGGAAAGCAGTAGAAGATGGCCCAAGTGTTTGGGTCCCTGTACCTGCATGGGAGACCTGGAAGAAGCTCCTACCTCCTCGCTTCAGATAGGTTCAGCTCCAGCCATTGCAGACATTTGGGGAGTGAACCAGTGGATGGCAGACCTTTCTCTCTGTCTCTTCCTCTGTCTGTAACTCTACCTTTCAAACAAATAAGTAAATCTTAAAAAAATAAAATAAAATAAAAAAGGAAAGAGCTGTTTTGATGATTTCAGGAGGGTAAAAGACACCATTTATTTGGTCCATGCTGCAACCACCATCTCAATAGAATACACCAAATTACAAAATACAAACTGTACAATGATCACTGGTTGTAATTTCTAGTAGTTCATTTGGCACTATGAAGAAGCACCAAGCGCTACCAGAATGCTTTAATACCAAGGCTGAACACAGAAAGCACTGACTCTGACTCTGGCCTGAGTGCCATAATTCTGTTCTTCATTGTCATCAACATAATCTCTTCCTCAAATCTCATCTCTTTCCCTATAATCATTTTTTGAGAGTGGATTCTCTAAAATTTTGTTCTTTGTTATTTGTTCTAAGATAACGTTATCTTGGAATCTAGAACATATTATCTCTGGCTAGAAAATATCAAGGGTAAATGAGAGCCAGAAAACCCAGATTCCAATACTGTTTTGCTCTAATTGTTTGAATTTTGGCAGATGATAACCACTTTAGTTTTTGTATCACTTCTGTGCCTTCTTTTTAATCTTCCTTACCTGTGGTTTGGATGATCAGATGAGGGAATGTATAATAAAGTATCTGGAAAACTACGATATTTTGACAGAAATATCACTAAGTTAGTAGATAAAACAAATCATGGAAATCAAAAACACTCCCATACCACTAGAAAAAAACAACAACATATTGACTCAACAGTTGCTTTTACATACTTCAGTGACTGCTAGTTGGTTTCCCTACAGGGTAACAATGACAACGAATATTTAAAAGAGAAAAAGGGTCAGCACCAATGGTCAGTTTACTACCTAAAGAGTCTTGTACCGGCCGGTGCTGCAGCTCAATAGGCTAATCCTCCGCCTAACAGGTTCTAGTCCCGGTCGGGGCGCCAGATTCTGTCCTGGCTGCTCCTCTTCCAGTCCAGCTCTCTGCTGTGGACAGGGAGTGCAGTGGAGGATGGCCCAAGTACTTGGGCCCTGCACCCCATGGGAGACCAGGAGAAACACCTGGCTCCTGCCATCGGATCAGCACGGTGCACCGGCCGCAGCGTGCCGCCACGGTGGCCATTGGAGGGTGAACCAACGGCAAAAGGAAGACCTTTCTCTCTGTCTCTCTCTCTCTCTCATTGTCCACTCTGCCTGTAAAAAATAAATAAATAAAATCTTTAAAAAAAAAAAAAAAAAGAGTCTTGTACCCATCCTCAGGACAACTCTTTCAGGATAAAGCTACAGACAAATCTTTCATCAGGACTTTGCTTTTGTATTTTTCTTTTAGAGATAATATTTTTTTTAAAGATTTATTTATTTATCTGAAAGGCAGAGTTACAGAGAAAGGGAAAGAGAGAGAAAGAGAGAGATCTATCATCTACTGGTTTACTCCCCAAATGGCCACAATGGTCAGGGCTGGGCTAAGCCAAAGCCAGGAGCCTGGAACTCCTTCTGGGCCTCCCACATGAGTGCAGGGACCCAAAGGCTTGAACTATATTCTGTTGCTTCTCTAGCCCATTATCAGGGAGCTGGATCTGAAGTAGAGCAGCCAGAACTTGAACTGGCACCCATGAAGGTTTCTGACACTGTAGGCAATGACTTAACTCGCTGCAAAGATAGCCCTTAGGGCTTTGAATGATAATTTTTTACAATTCAGTCAATTTCCCCTTGGCCAGCAATTAAAATTGTAACTGTTTTCCTTAGCTCTCTAATTGAACAATGTAATTAAAAATATTTGGAAAATGTCAAAGTAAACTTTTCTTAGAGAACTGCTGTCTACTTAGCTAACTGAGTTTCAGGGCCTTGTTTATGTATCTCTTGCAAGTGCTAACTTAACCCAGACTAACATGATTCGAAGAGATCCTGTTTCAGAACGTATAAAATTAGGAAGAATTGGTATGTCTTCTGCCCAGGACCATTTTTCTTGTTATTCTGGCACATGTAATACCAAGAGTTTTTATCTGTTATGATTCCAGATAGGAATTCTACTGCTCCATCTACTTCCTAAATATCTCTCTATTTTCCCCTTTCTCTTTCTCCAGCCATATTACTGCTCTGGTCTACTC